ACTGAACAAGATCAGACAGATGCTTACTAATAGATTCCATATGACCTCATGACTCGAACTACACTCTCGCTTGAAATAACTGGTAAGACTAGCCACTACCACTAACTGCTTTTGGTTATAAACTATACTTTCAATAAATTCAGTAGAGTAATAAATGAACATGTCATTCTGTTAAATAAACAACTTGGTTTTTGAATTATTATTAGCTCATTCTTGGTGATTGTAAAGCAAAGTAATATTTTTTTATCAATAAAATGAAACTATAAAGTATCGGCTTTTGAAAACTATGGTGGCTTATTTAATTCAGATTGTAGATATGGGTAGTGTTTGGCTCTCCTGTTAAACGGGATTGAGCCGTACTATTTAGGTTGTCACGTGAAGGTCTGGATGGTGTCCGGTTCTCCTGAAAACCAATGTAAAATTACCCTGACCCACAAGGGTATATTATATAATTGTATATATGGTAGTGGCAATATTGGTTGGTATAAACGGTTTTCAGTACACGGGATTATATAAATAAACATACATCTATTTACTTCAAAAATCTTCCAAAATAATGACACATTGTAAAAATATTTATTCCGTTTTTGAGCAATTTAGTTTATTTGAATATGATGGCATTTTGGTTCATTAAAAACTCGACCTGTTCAAATAATTTATCCATATCTTGCCAATTAAAATTTGGGAATTTCATAACATTTTCTTTCGCAGAAGCACTCACAGGTTTGAATCATTTATTATTTACACGAACTGGTTGCTAGATGGAATCGATCAACGTACTTAATTCTAAAGCAGTAAAGGAAATTTCCTAAACAACAATAAAAATATGAGCACTAGGTTATGTGAGACAAAAACTCCTGGGAATATTGTTTCGCTTTTAGACATTTGTTAAGAGGACCACTGATCGTAATGAATTTTGTTTTATGCTAATACACGTTTCGCTTTCTAACATTTTAATAAAAAAATTGACTCAAATGAAAGAATACTATGCTTTTCGAAATTTCTGTACCAATCGAAGTGAACTAGCGTATACGCTTAGTTTGCCTTAGAATGTTAGACTGGTTCTAACATATAAGAATGAAAATAAGTATTCAAAAAATACTTTGAGAAACCACTCATATGTTGAAGATATGATGAAGACGCAGTATTAACTTGGATCACTAATTCAAACAAATATACAGCAAAGTAATTAACTGTCAGTGTTCAATATTCATGTGAATCCCATTGAAGCGATATAGCAACTAAGACATACACACTTGCGCCAGCTTTATCGGTGTCCAAAGCTGATCAAATCACAAGAAGTACAGATGCAGAATTTCCATGAAGTCACTTTTAAAAAACATTTAATTTGGGAAAAATACATGGCCAAATATTGACTGGAACTATCACAGAGAATGATTTGATTATATAATTCTTCTGAGATATGTGATGCAAGGCTTCGTCATCACCCAGTTTGAAAATAATCTCATTTTGTGATTAATCGAAAGACTCATAAAACGACTGGACAACAAGCTTGAAGATTAAAGCAGTTTATCCTTCTCAAATAACCGAACACAAATGAAAAAGTGCCAGTCAATACTTTATCAATTAAATACAGAAATATAAACAGGTAGTGATCTCTGTGAGAATTACTTGGACCATGATCAGATAAAAATGCGATTGTTTACCTATACTAAACTGAAAATAACCTTAACTACTTTCATGGATATTTTTGATAAAAACGACTACTTTTACACGGATCGACCAATCAGTAGTAACCAATTCATGTTT